TCTCACTCTGTCACCCAGGCTGGAGTGCAGTGGCATGATCTTGGCTCATTGCAACCTCCACCTCCTGGGTTCAAGCAATTCTCTTGCCTCAGCCTTCCAAGTAGCTGGGATTACAGGCACGCACCACTACACCTGGCTAAGTTTTTGTTTTTAGTAGAGAAGGGGTTTTGCCATGTTGGCCAGGCTTGTCTCGAACTCCTTGCCTCATGTGATCCACCCGCCTTGGCCTCCCAAAAGCTCTTCTATTCTTAATGAAGGCTTTGCAGAGAAGGGAAAAGGCCTTCACAGTGAGAACAACAGGCCTGACCCTCATCCCCAAAGGACCTCTGCATCCTTGGATCTGTCAGAGCCTTCTGGGCTTTATTTCTGTATTTATTGGAAATAAAAGTAAACTAAATGGTTTTACCCACCTTCTAGTGGTCAAAGAGTTGCTGCAATTTCTTTAACTTTTTCTTAAAAAGCTCAAGGACGTCCGTAATTACGCTGGCCAGGAATATACTGACACTTGCGAGCTACTAAGGCTGGCCGGGCTATAGTCCTCTACACTGAATGGCTTCAGGTTTCGGTGCCTTTGAGTTTTCATTTTGTTTTCTATATTTTTTTCTCCCCGCATGACACAAGTGGTGCTTGAGATGATTTTAATGGCTTTGTTAGGTGGGTTTAGATTTAGATTGTACTGGGTTGGTACATAGGCAATTGGGGGTTTTGCTATGCTTTAAAAAAAAAAAAATGGCAACAACCACAATTACTTTTGCACCAATGTAATACATGGATGTGACCCACATTCTACCACAGTCATGGAGAAGATTCCCTGGGGATCATGTTAAATGCAGACTCTGATCTACTGGGTCTGGGGTGGGCCTGGAGATTCTGCATTTTTAACAAGATCCCACAAGATGCTGCTGCCCTGGACCCTTGTGACTCAAGGTTTGATCTACAAATCGGCAGCATGGCACCCCCAGGAGCTTGCTGGAAATGCTAGCTCTAAGGTCTTTTCTGAACCTGCTGTCTCTGTATCTGCAGTCACAAGCCTCCCAGTGATCCCTGGACACATTAAAGTTTGGGAACCGCCAACGTAACACACTGCTGGAGACCACGCCTTCACACTTTCCCTAGAAGCAGGGATCCCATTTCTTGGATTCCAAACCACTTCCAAAGAGCTTGTGGAAGGATGTTTCCAGGCCTGGGCATGTTCTCTCTTGGGAACACCTTTAACCTCTCCAGGACTTTCCATTCCACTCTGTGCCCTCCTCTGTCCCTGTTAAGATCCTTAAGCTTTATGAAGACCTTGGTCCTCTGCATATTAGCTCCACTGTCTGCGTTCTTTGAGACAGACGCCAGTGGCTGAAGCATGGCTGGAGAAGGGACATCGATCTTTCTTAGTACTGCTGTTCCTAGAGGATATAATTTGCTTGATAAATGGGTTCTGGCTGCAGCTACTCAGGGTGGAGTGAGGGATTGTGCAAAATGCTGGGTGCACCAGGCTTTAGAAAAATTGCCAGGAGGATAATAAAACCTGAAAGACAAACAAGACGAGGAAGGAAGGTGCTCTGTGGTGTACCTGGTCCCATTGCCCTGTGGCCGGCTGTGTGAGAAGAAATAGGAGTCAAGGTTCTGGGGTCTCACAGAGTGGGAGTGTGTGGCCATCACAGTGTCAGTAGCACCCTGTGGGTGGCAGAGTATATTTCAGAGGTGGCTGCAGCCATATCCCTCATTCATCTGCTTTTCTATAGTAAGAACTTGCCACACCCCAGTCAATGGGTGGAGTCATTTCCCCTCCCTGGAATCCAGACTGACCTTAGGATTCACTTCTGACTGGAGATGACACTACACAACTTCTGAGACTAGGTTGGAAAAAGCCATTGAGCTTCTGCCTTGTTCTCTTGGGATACCTGCTGTGGGGGAAGCCAGTAGCTATGAATAATTCTGACCACCCTGAGACCACAGTGCTGGAGAGGAAGGGTTTTTCTAGGGGTGGAGGGATGGGGTTCGAGATCTTTTATTTTCAGAGCTTGCAACAGTTGGTTAGCAACGCTAGCTAAGTTGGTATGATCCGAAGGCCAATCACCTTTCTCTTTAGGCACTCAACCAACAGAATCTCTTTCTTACAAACAAGATCATTGACCAGTTGGGATCTGTCTCAACGTGTGTGTGGGAAGAGGTTCTCTCCCCCTACTTCTCCCAACAAGATTGTTTTATAGCCAAATGAAACTCAAATCCATAATACAGCAACTAGTCATCTCCTGTGTCACTGATTCCCCCCACCCCCAGAATAGGAAGTTGAGGTAAGAGGGGAGAGACTGTGTCCTGTTATACGAAAAACAACAGCAGGGGTTCCAGCTAACAGCCTGGTCAGTGGACAGCCGTTGACTGTGCCCACATGAGAGATGCTAAGTGGGAACTACCTAGAGGATGAGCCCCTCTCAATTTCCTGATCCACAAATTCATGAGCAAAATAAAATGTTTTGAAGTAATTTGTTATGTAGCTACAGAAACTGGAGTATTCTGAAGCTTTGGTTATCAGAGAGACACTACACATTCTTAAAGACATCCTTCAAGCAAAATTTATTTCATTTCACTTCATTTCATTATGTCTTAAAAACACTTGGGAGCAGGGAGTAGGTTGTCACAAAATCAGACAAAGCCCGAAAACCGTCTAATAAAAACATGCGGCTTTAGGCTAGAGTAAAATGATAATAGTAATACAATTCTAGTTTTTGTTTCTCTTCTGTCAGGCCCTACATATATATTCCATCGTTTAACTTTCATTCCAACTCTGTAAGGTGTGTCTCTTTTAGAGATGAAGAAACTGAGGTTCAGAAAATGTTAAATGACTCACCATGTGCCAGAGTTGGGGTTTGAACGCTGCTGGACCTGACTCTAGAGCCTGTCCTGCAGTGGGTGGAAGAGTTGTTAATGAGAAGAGTTAAATTACAGGATGTCCTGTCCTTGGATCCTAGGCTCTGGGACCCTTAGGTGTCATTTAGTTCAATGCTGGGGACTCCTGGCCCATCATAGTGTTTTAAAATCCACATTACCAGACTCTGTTCACGTGGAGTCTTAGGTCTGTGGTAGGGTGTTTTCTAGAAGGTTCTGACCCTTCTCAAATTGAAGTCTCGGATTTAGTTCAGCCTCCCCCATTGCAGAGGCCCTGGGAGAGGAAGCAGCTTGCTCCACAGCACGGAGCAGCTCAGCTGGCGAGCTGGGGCAGAGAGCAGGTTTCTGATGCCCAGAGAGGGTGCTCCTCCAGGCAGCTCTAGAGGAGGTTTGGAAGACTGATAGCAGAAGTGACTTGCACCCCAGTGAGGGGATGCAGTAGAGATTCTGTAATAGAAGTGCTCCAGGTTCAGGGTTGGTGAAGGGTTGACTGGGTTCTGTGATGATGGCACTGCAGGAGTCCATTCAGTCATCTAGCAAATAGCTACCAAGAGATGCCTGTGTGCCAGGCAGAGGCGCTGGGGGCCCAGTGCTGAGCAGAACGGTCATGGGTACCACTGCTTTTCGAAATTACATAAATATACAGACTTTTAGGACTTAAAACGTCACAGAGGAGGCAGGGAGAGAAGGGGAGAGAAGGAGGGAGGGAGAGACAGGGAGAGAGACACAGAAGATGGGTGGATTTTAGGTTTCTTAGATACGCAATAGAATTGAGAGTCAGGCTGATCAAAGTAAGAATAGTTTCAGTGTCACCTGTTCAAAGTCCCAAATAGATGTTAACTTCCGTGGTCTCTGAGTGCCTACAGTGGCCCAGCCGTGCTACTGGGCTCTGAGGTGACAGCCCTGGAGTGGCTCCTGCCCTCATACCCTCACAGGGGAGCTGAAGCTGCAAACAGAACATACTCGTACAACGTCCCAAATCTGGGACAGAAACCGGGGCTGTGGGACTCCTGATTCTGTCTGGAGACTGGGATGGCTTTAGGTGACCAACTGTCCTGGTTTGCTCAAGACTGAGGGGTTTCCTGGGATATAGGACTTTCAGTGCTAACACTGGAAAAGTTATAGACAAACCAAGACTGCTGGCCACCCTAGAGGGTTTCCTAGAGGAGGAGAAAGCTGAGCTTCTCCTCCTCTCCTGCTCCCCTGCACTCTTCATCTTGGATCATGGGAATCCTTTTCCCAGAAACCCAAACCAGAAGCCTAGGAATCAGCTTCAGCCACTCCTGCCCACAGGTTCTCCACGCCATCCATTTCCTCTCCAGTCTGCTAGTCTCTCTTGCAGGGACAGCTGCCACAGCCTCAGCACCTCCCACCTTGCCTTCTGTTCTCTCTTCCAAGTTCCATCCTCACCATGGCCAGGGCCACCATTTTGAATTGGAATTCCCATTCCATGCTCCTTTACCAAACCTCTCCTTGGCTCAAAATCAAAGTCCTCTAGCCTGGCACTCAAAGCAGCAAATGACCTGGCTTCTTTTGCCCTCTCCAACTGCATCTGAAGTGGTGCTGAACTTAGTTCCTCAGGTAAAGATTGGCTGGAGAGCTGGGAGGTGGCCTGATGGCTGAGATCTGAAAAAGCAAACCCCTGCATTTCTGACCCTTTCTTAGTTTTTCTCTTGGCAGTGACTGCTTTTCATTGCCCAACCAATGAAGACAGCACACGGGCAGCTGTGCCAGTTACTCCCTCGCTTATGTTCCACCTCAAGCCTGTTTTGTTTTCAAGAGACCACACTGCTGCCCTGGCCTTGCCCCATTCTGACTTCAGTTTCCAGTTTACTTTGGAACCCCAAGTCCTTAGAGTCTTTGTACACACAAAGCTACTCCCTTATGCATGGAATTTGTCCTTGCTGGCAGGTGGTGATGGAAGAGTCTGTAAAGTCTCAGTGATTCTTTCAGTCCTTCCCAAGCCTTTGAACCAGTGAGAACTGACAGCAGGGCCTGTCTCTTTCCCCCTCTGCAGCAGTCTGGATTCTCCCCACTGAGGGTGCATAGTGGGGGGCCTCCTTGGGAACTTCCCGCAGCAACAGAACGCTTAACCTTTATGTACTTTTCTTTTTACGTTTCAGTTTTACAGAGTTTTTGGATCCGTTCCAGAGAGTCATCCAACCGGAAGAGATCTGGCTCTATAAAAATCCTTTGGTGCAATCAGATAACATACCTACCCGCCTCATGTTTGTAAGTACCATGATTTCATGCCTTATTTGACTGCTCTCTCAAAGATGAACCAAATGAGTTTTCATCTTTGCTTTTCTAACCCTGAAGACAGTGGGTGGCCTGAGAGAAAGAGAAGGTGAGCAGCCCATCAAATTAAAATCCAGTTCCTTGTCATGATAGGAGCTGCTTGGTCATGTGAGAAGGACTCTGTTAGAAATGCTTGTTCCCTGGTGCCACAAAGAAATAGCACACGAACATAGATTTAATTCTCTCAGCAAGACAATGTTTACTTTCTGCAGAAAGGGTGCTCATCACAGATGGAACGATGGTGAGAACATGCCTGAACAAAGGAGGCAATTTTTATCCCTTATGCAGCTTGTCCCTGCTACTGTGTCCTGTCTCCATTGGCTGGAGCTGGACCTCACAGTCAAAACTAATACCTGATTGGCTAACAGCTTAAAACTTTCTTAAATAGGTAAAGGCAAGGGAGAATAAAGGAAAAGAGAAAGTTGCTTATGAAGGATTTAAAGAAGCAATAACGTTTCCAAATAAGGAAGGGGCATAAGCTATAAGCTAAGACTTGCCTTGGCCTGTCTAGATATGCCTGAACAAGCCAAAGCAACTAACTGGGCTGAAGTGTAAGAACTAACAGTTGATAGGAGGCTTTAGGGTAAGAAGCTGTTATTCCTAGTGCCTATTTTATTTTAAAACTAAGACGAGCTTTGAAGAGGAATTTTTCTACTTTCTACAAGTCATCGCCCAATATTGTAGAATGAGAAAGGACTTGCTTGTCTGGGCTATGCTGAGTTATAGTAAAGGAAGACTAGAAGCCAGTGATGAGAATTTTCTGTCCACTCTCTTTTTAGGATAAGCCTTGATTCTGCCCAAATGAAAGTACCCAGATAGCTCTGTTAACCTCTTTTCTGGTTTTAGCTGGTCAGTTGTTGGCCACTAATAAGACCACCCTGTGCTTCAGCCTCTTGAGAGTGTCTTGTGTCTCTCTCCTTCTAGAATAAATGGGCAAGCACCCATGGAGCTGGTGAATATATTGAGATAAATTTTACCCCCCCCACCCCCAATGCCACATGGCAATTGCCACAACCTTTTACATTTCACTGCCTATATGCCAGGCTTGTTGCTGAGAGCTTAAGAAATGATGGTCTAATTTAATTCCACCCAGCATCCCAGTGAGGAAGATGTCATTGTTGTCCATATTTCACAGATGCAAAACTGCATTCCAAGAGAGATGAGGGAACTTGCCCGATGTCACATAGCTAGTGAGCACAGCACCAGGTTCTAGCAGCCAGCTCTTGGAGCTCAGCTCTCAGGCAACAGGCTGCCCTGAGGGTTGGAGGCAGTGTCTGGGACTCCTTGCTGATGCTAATGAAGCCCTGGAGAATTGGAGAATCACCATCCAACCTTTCTGGAGCAGAGGAAATATTTAAGCTCCTCTTTGTTATGGAACGATAATGTCACTTTTGGATGGGCAGCCTCCCAACAGTTTGAAGGTTGTTCCTGTTGACCTGCCATGGTGTCTCGTGCCTCTCTGGGAACTGCTCCAGAAACTTCATAGACACACAGGGAACATTTTTGTATTTTGAAAGAAATCCCTCTGATTTTGTGGAGGAAATTTTGTTAATTAGTGATGATTGGAAAGATCTGTGTTTTTGCAAACTCTTGGAAATGCCCATAATGCCAGCGAGCATTAAAGTATTATTTTAATTGCTTCTTAATAATTACTTTTCTACTGGAAAGTAAACTGGATTTTTATAAATCTTAGGGAAATTGACAAATTAGGGTTGTTGTGAGTAGGGAATTACTAACACATGGCTATTAAAATCAGGCTTTTTTCATTTCTGCTGTAACTCAAATCTTCTATAAATCCTAGAAATAAAGGAAGCAGTGTATGTGTAATGAGTTTACTCAATGGCTTTAATAGGGAGAAGCTTCTATTTATCAGTTACTCCTATTTTTCATAACATTTTACATTTCATGTGTTGTAAAAACACAATTTGGAGATGAATGTTCATATGGGATGTTGTGAGAAATCTGTGGCTGTGTCCTAGATTTATGAACAATGGATTGTTTTGAAGTCTAGATACAAATGCCACAAATATTCTGGCTACAGGCACAAATAGGATGGAGCAATTTGCATGCTGGTGGTGGTAGAAATTAGTCAGTAGAGGGCTTATTCAGCACTGGGGTTCTCAGAGAACAGAAGGATATTCAGCCACACATACTGATTCATACCCTCTATTCTCCTAATGAAATAAGTTCAACCTTTTATTTCATTAATAGCAGTTGATGAATTTCATTCATTTGGTTGCACGATTTAGTACAATTCCATAATAACACAAGGAAAGCAGTAGATACATTTATAATACCTATAACGCAAAGATGAAAAATATTTTGTCACCCCATAAAAAAGATTTGTTCTCCTGGGTTTTAAGAATTTAATATAGGGGGGGCGGAGCAAGATGGCCGAATAGGAGCAGCTCCAGTCTCCAACTCCCAGCGCAAGCGACACAGAAGACCGGTGATTTCTGCATTTTCAACTGAGAAACTCTACAAGCCAGAAGAGAGTGGGGGCCAATATTCAACATTCTTAAAGAAAAGAATTTTAAACCCAGAATTTCATATCCAGCCAAACTAAGTTTCATAAGTGAAGGAGAAATAAAATCCTTTACAGATAAGCAAATGCTTAGAGATTTTGTCACCACTAGGCCTGCCTTACAAGAGATCCTGAAGGAAGCACTAAACATGGAAAGGAACAACCGGTACCAGCCATTGCAAAAACATGCCAAAATGTAAAGACCATCGAGGCTAGGAAGAAACTGCATCAACTAATGAGCAAAATAACCAGTTAATATCATAATGGCAGGATCAAGTTCACACATAACAATCTTAACCTTAAATGTAAATGGACTAAATGCTCCAATTAAAAGACACAGACTGGCAAACTGGATAAAGAGTCAAGACCCATCAGTCTGCTGTATTCAGGAGACCCATCTCACACGCAGAGACATACATAGGCTCAAAATAAAGGGATGGAGGAAGATTTACCAAGCAAATGGAGAACAAAAAAAAGCAGGGGTTGCAATACTAGTCTCTGATAAAACAGACTTTAAACCATCAAAGATCAAAAGAGACAAAGAAGGCCATTACATAATGGTAAAGGGATCAATTCAACAGGAAGAGCTAACTATCCTAAATATATATGCACCCAATACAGGAGCACCCAGATTCATAAAGCAAGTCCTTAGAGACTTACAAAGAGACTTAGACTCCCATACAATAATAATGGGAGACTTCAACACTCCACTGTCAACATTAGACAGATCAACGAGACAGAAAGTTAACAAGGATATCCAGGAATTGAACTCATCTCTGCAACAAGCAGACCTAATAGACATCTATAGAACTCTCCACCCCAAATCAACAGAATATACATTCTTCTCAGCACCACATCGTACTTACTCCAAAATTGACCACGTAATTGGAAGTAAAGCACTCCTCAGCAAATGTACAAGAACAGAAATTATAACAAACTGTCTCTCAGACCACAGTGCAATCAAACTAGAACTCAGGACTAAGAAACTCACTCAAAACCGCTCAACTACATGGAAACTGAACAACCTGCTCCTGAATGACTACTGGGTACATAACGAAATGAAGGCAGAAATAAAGATGTTCTTTGAAACCAATGAGAACAAAGATACAACATACCAGAATCTCTGGGACACATTTAAAGCAGTGTGTAGAGGGAAATTTATAGCACTAAATGCCCACAAGAGAAAGCAGGAAAGATGTAAAATTGACACTCTAACATCGCAATTAAAAGAACTAGAGAAGCAAGAGCAAACACATTCGAAAGCTAGCAGAAGGCAAGAAATAACTAAGATCAGAGCAGAACTGAAGGAGATAGAGACACAAAAAACCCTCCAAAAAATCAATGAATCCAGGAGTTGGTTTTTTGAAAAGATCAACAAAATTGACAGACCACTAGCCAGACTAATAAAGAAGAAAAGAGAGAAGAATCAAATCGACGCAATTAAAAATGATCAAGGGGATATCACCACCGACCCCACAGAAATACAAACTACCATCAGAGAATACTATAAACACCTCTACGCAAATAAACTGGAAAATCTAGAAGAAATGGATAATTTCCTGGACACTTACACTCTTCCAAGACTAAACCAGGAAGAAGTTGAATCCCTGAATAGACCAATAGCAGGCTCTGAAATTGAGGCAACAATTAATAGCCTACCAACCAAAAAAAGTCCAGGACCAGATGGATTCACAGCTGAATTCTACCAGAGGTACAAAGAGGAGTTGGTACCATTCCTTCTGAAACTATTCCAATCAATAGAAAAAGAGGGAATCCTCCCTAACTCATTTTATGAGGCCAACATCATCCTGATACCAAAGCCCGGCAGAGACACAACAAAAAAAGAGAATTTTAGACCAATATCCCTGATGAACATCGATGCAAAAATCCTCAATAAAATACTGGCAAACCGGATTCAGCAACACATCAAAAAGCTTATCCACCATGATCAAGTAGGCTTCATCCCTGGGATGCAAGGCTGGTTCAACATTCGCAAATCAATAAACATAATCCAGCATATAAACAGAACCAAAGACAAGAACCACATGATTATCTCAATTGATGCAGAAAAGGCTTTTGACAAAATTCAACAGCCCTTCATGCTAAAAACGCTCAATAAATTCGGTATTGATGGAACGTACCTCAAAATAATAAGAGCTATTTATGACAAACCCACAGCCAATATCATACTGAATGGGCAAAAACTGGAAAAATTCCCTTTGAAAACCGGCACAAGACAGGGATGCCCTCTCTCACCACTCCTATTCAACATAGTGTTGGAAGTTCTGGCTAGGGCAATCAGGCAAGAGAAAGAAATCAAGGGTATTCAGTTAGGAAAAGAAGAAGTCAAATTGTCCCTGTTTGCAGATGACATGATTGTATATTTAGAAAACCCCATTGTCTCAGCCCA